GCTGTTCGTTAGTTTAATGGTCGGTACTTGTTTATCTAAACCGATAAAATAAGGGCTTGGAGCTGGTGTAGTTAATGCACAAGCCATAATTGCGTTTAGTGGTAATTGCTGATTGATAATTAGGCTGGATGTCCAATAATATTACGGTAACGTTGTTAGTTTTAAAACCGTGTTGAAAAATTGAATTACCCTATAATTAGCGAAGCATAGTGATTTTATTGTTTTGTTTGAAGTATCAAAAAGACCAAAAGATAATAAATTGTAAATTAAAATATATATGTAGCTGATATACGAAAAATGTTATCAAATTTTGTTGGTTCACCACATCTCAAAAATGAATATGAAACTTTTGTATTTTACCTAATATATGTATGATATTTGTTGGTTTCAATAATTGAATATTCGTAAAGCCTTTGAATCATGAAAATAGTGACTGAAAATACACTGATTCATTTTTGTTCGTTAGAAAATTTTCTTTTAATCATCGATGTTATGCCGACGATTTCATGCTAAGTGAATAATAATGACATATCTAATAAAATTATGAATCATAAAAACCCACTTTAGCCAAAACTGTTAGTAAGAGTCCAATATTATGTAGACACATATTCTATGTAATTTATTAGAATATTTATTCTGGGTATTTAGCACTGTATGTTTCATCAATTATTTAAATTTAATAATGATGTTATTCTCATTTCCTAAATTCTAATTGAATTGTTCTCATACCGACTGCTGAAAAACGTTAATAACTACATGAAAAATAATGTAAATTACAATAAAACACAACATACGATTAGTTGGGCTACCTTTCCGTAAACTTAATCGTAATTAAACAAACTTCCGATTTTTCTACCAGCGGAGTTTATAATTTTATGCGCTCCACTTCCGTGTAAATGCAGCAAGCAGCCCGGCATAAAACAAAGACATCGAAAATTGTAACGGTCGGGGTTTTGTATTTTGCCGGGATTAATCGGTAGAACCATCGACTTATCTGAAGAAAGTATGAAATAACACGTATTTTAACAGTCTGTAAACAAAAAAAAACTCGTAGCACAATTACGATTTCGAGGTCAACGGAAGCATTTAAAGAACCGTTTGCGACAATAGACATGAACTTGAACAATGCCAGTTTAGTTTGTTGTACCTGTTAATCTTGTCTCCACTGATTCGTAACAATTCGCGAAATCGAATAACGATAAATTATCGTGATAAAATGGCGTAGGTTTGCGAGCTAAGCATGCAAAAAATATGCTAAACACTCCGCTTTCTCCGATATCCAGAGAAGAAAACTGAAATTTAAACAAGAAAAAGTTTACGATTGTACGATTCGTTAATTTTGACAAGTTTTTTCATTCGTGGGAATCTCTGGTTTTTATTATTTTAACAAACCGATCATGACTACTTCAAAATCTATTTAAAAGTAGAATTGTTGATTAACATTTTAACTAAATGTTACTAATAATTCCGCTTATTTTTTTAACTTAATCATACACCAATCAAATATAATCCAAACTTGAATTCTTCTAATGCTATTCTAATGACTATTTATTCAAACTTTTCTTATTTATTAGACACTCATAAAAGCCCACATAGGTAAAGAAATAGTTAGCTCCCCAAATTAGACGTGTTCCAAAGAGGATATAGTGAAGCCTTGTAGAAAATTTTCCAGAACTACCTATTAAATATTCCAAGAAGCTAACAATGGCATTAAAATTAAAAGTCTGGGATCATTTAGAACCCATAAAGCGACCAGCCCTATTTACGAAAAGTCTAGGAAGACAGGTAGATGGATATACCTTTGCACAGGCATCTTACCTCAGACGAGACGGCTGAAAGCGTCATTGTTCGATTTCAAAGCCGTGCACCTGTTACCCAGAGATACGAGGGGTCTTTGACACGTGTCAATTCGCCTAGATGTGAAAATTTAAACTTTATCGCATGTATGTGTTTACCTGTAGGTGCATTTTGTTTGGCACAATTCCCATTGATATTCAGAGTTATCTAATCGTGATCAGATAAGGATATTTCATGAATCATTTGTGTATTAAATAGTTTGATATAGGCAATATTGATCTAATATTCCAACCATATGTGTAAATCAGTTAAGAATTAACTAATAGCGATAAGATTAGAAAATTTAAATGCTCTTAACAAAGAGCCTTGTTCAAAAGAAGGTAGTATTTTACGTTAAAATAATGAAGGTAGAGTAATCGTTTAAGTAGGTAAAAAAAAGAAATAAAATTTGTCTATAAATTGTATAAAATGTTTGTGTAATAAAAGCATGATGATGAATCTGCCCACACCTACATGCATGAATACATTAAAAATGTCGTCATAGTAGGTGTATATTAAAGATCCTGCGACGGCTAATTTTCCGTTGTTGACCTTTGAATTCCAATTAAAACGATCCCGAACTCAAGTATCGCGGTGCTGAATAGCAATCACCGAAAGGAATTCGGAAAATACGATTTGCAGAAAATGAAAAAACTCCGGATTGCTTTTTTGACGGTGCCCAATTCCTTCATTAAAAAACAACGGTTTTTTGTTGATAATGAACAGGCTCCCTTCTCCTCATCGCCGCCCTTTTGCCTATAAAAAGCGCACTTTCACTTTTGATCTTATTTAAATTTCTTTGAGGGTACAGTTACTCGTCCCAATACCTTATTAATAAAAATTCAACTAATTAATCAAACACCGAATCGTAAACATGATCTGCGCGATTCTATTTTCAGCTATTCCTGCTAGTCTGTACTAGGTAGTGTTTTCGTCTACAATTTCATTACTTTCTATGGGCCCTTTTCCGTTTCGTTTTGAAGTATAGAAACCGATTACGTCGACGCACGAGAAAGAAAAGAAGCACTAAACGCAACAAAGAGCCTAAAATATCTTAATCGATAAAAGTTTGCAAACTAATGGGCCTTCCATGTTAAGCAGCAATGATTCGCAATCAATTACTCGGAATAAAAAGAGGTCTTTCAAAACTAGAAATGGATACAAACCGAAATATAGCGGAGGTGTAATAAAAAAAAATACCCACATGCGGAGAAGAGTTCTATCAGAATGCTATTTTCACATCGGAATCGTTATAGCTTGGAATCGGCTGGCAACGCCGAACAAAAAACAACAATATACCTCGTCTTGTAAACCACACTCCTTCTTCTATTCTTTCTCATATTTAAGACGCAAACGGGTCGTGAATGCGAAATCGTGATTTTTATTTATCGCACGACAATCCCTTTCTTTGAGAATGAGGATTGCGAGATAACACCGAGACGTATAGCCTTGATTCACTAAGAGCAAATATCACTAAATCATTTCTGCTGATTCTATGGTTTGAGATTTTGTTACGCGATGCAACGTAACGAGGTGGTTTCAGCGAAATTTCTGTAATATTTTTACGAAAGATCTAAAGGAAAATAACGAAATTCGATACGCTTGTGGCTTTTCCGTTATTCTCCATAAATTTAATTATCTGTTAATGTCTCAGTCAATAAGGAACAAATGTGTATTACCTCTACACATGATTATTTCATTTTAATAAGTACCTTAATTAAGATTGTAACTATCTAAATATTTTGATACGATTATACGGAACCATTGATTTATTGAGCATTTATAACCATATATTATTATTTGGACATTTAAGTATAATGTATTAATTTATTAATAGAAATATGTCTAAAGACACATAGTTCAGAAAGAGTTAAGATTATAAAAAAAAAATTCTCAGTATTGTAATGTTTTCATTTTCAGTGTTTGTTGTTGTTGATAAGATAAAAACGATGAAGTATCACGAAACGCAATTTCAACAATTAATAATACGTGATTATTTGGAGAACTAAAGCGCAATGAGATCTCAACTCAGCCTTTTCATCTCCAATATACTCGCATAAATAAAAAAACAAACAAGACATTTTCCGAAAGAACACTCGACTCAGCTACATTTCTTGCTAATGGGCGCTCATTTCAGTTATAAAATTTTAAACCATGCATCAGAATATTACAGGATAGTCGGTAAATTACTGAAAATGTACATTCAAAGATATTTAGAAATATACACTGCTCTAGAAAAAGTTCGTGCATCGTTGATCCGATTTCCGAATAATTACAACAAATCCCAAGACTATCAAAAACATTTCCTTTGAGTATAAAAATATGCATTTTCCGTATGAGTGAAAACGAAAATTAGATTTTCAAAAATATTAGACAGGAATAAGGTTTAGTAGAATCGTTTCGAAATTTTCGTAATTTACGTTGAGCAGCTTATATCGCTTAAAAGTTAAAAAAGCGAACTTTTAAATTCGAAAACTCGTTTATGAAAGCCACCTACTCTTTAATAAACCCGATATACAAATCCGTTTTGAACGTCGGGAACTTTTCACAAACCAACACAGAACGTTGTTAAATCCAAACTTCAAAAATTCCGCTAACTTTATTCGCGCAAATACCCCAAGGTGGTGAATGTGCGACCCATTACGCGGCAATTAAAAGTTTTCAAAATTTTAATTACTGTTCCTTAAAAGCTTCTTTTGTCTATTTGACTTGGCAAAGTTTCAGTTTTCTAGCTCCCGCAAGAGCAATCTTCACATGGAAACTACCTGGTCGCTTTATTTTCGGTTCAACACACGATATTTTCATAAATCAAGCTCGGTTTGAGGTCATTCACCAATTAACAACGTATGTCAGGGTCTTCTTTTCAAACGACAACATCCTACCTACTGGGTATGAATCAGAATCGTGCATTACGTGCACCTATAGTTTGATTACCTAACGAATTTATTTTTGAAAATAAATTGTGTCTACACTGGTGAATAAAATTTAATTTATTAGGGAGTGTGAAAGAAGCGCGCTGCTTCTTGAGCGCAATTTGAGAGAGTTCAATGCTTTTTTTTAAGGGATTAACCGGTTTTTAAAAGCATTGGAAAATGTATAAACAGTTTGGAAAAAAGTTGGTGTTTTTTTTTTAAATCCAATTCCACCATCAACAAACAACCCACCTTGCGTCAATCCGAAGACCAGCAACAAAGTCTCGATATTTCTCATCGTCTTCGAGTCGAAAACCAGTTTTGCGCCCGCAGAGAAAGTAGTCACTACCACGACGAAAATATTACGACGGCCGTGCTGCGTTTCCACCGAAAAACCGCCACTTTTCCGGCACTTTTTCACCAGCTCGCGATCCGGGAAAACTTTACTCGAAAAGCCGAAGCGATCGGGAATGCGCCACTCGAAAAAACAGGTGGGTGCGCGCAAAATTCGACGCTCTCCGCTAACCGCCGTTCGTATACGTGTCGAACTGAGTTTGAGTTTGAGAAATTCCTACTAAACTTGAAACGAGTCGGCGAGTGCGAGCGGCGAGTCGTGGTGCTCGCGCCGTTGCCAAACAGCCGCGCTTCGTCGGGAACTTTTATCCGGCTCTCGTGTGAGTCGAATGATAATGGATGCGATGGATTATGCATTTAGGAATGGTCTTCGGATCCGCGAGTGTTTAATCGCTTCAAATGTAGACGTTATCTACCGTTAAAGCGACGAATCCGTTAGATGCTTCGCGAAATGTTTACACGACTCAATCGCTGAAATTTAAGTCAATATCTCACCTCTAATATCCAAAAATCTACTACCAAATAACCCGACAGTGACACCTTTTCCCAAAGACATTTCCACCTTGGAGATCAAACAAACTAATTTTTTTTAGAAACTCATTAACTCAACGGCTAATGTAATATTCCTATTTATTAACCTTCTTTGAGGAGAACTTACACTTGAGGAATTCTTAAGGGATGGGATTCCAGGCATGCAAGCATCCCTCAGGGAAACCACAATTATCATCGAGGGAGATTTAGGAAGGTTCGAGGGGAACCCCAGATAATGCTGGAGAAATGACTCTAAATTTGGGAGTAATCGTAATAATGAAACAATTTGGTAAAGAACAGAAAGTCTTCTTTTTCGAAATAGAATCTAGTTCAAGGGATGTTTGGATATTAAAGAGTTTTACTGGTTTTCAATAAGCTTTACAACAATTAGATAAATACTTAACAACCTTTTGAATAAGTTGGATTATCCAAGAATTTCCCTCCAAGTTTTCGAAAGTAAACAAAAAATATTCCTCTCACCTTACCTCAATTCCCTTATCATAAAACCTAGCAGGTACTATTCATTCATTTAGGTCCTTCTACCTACTAAGTTTATGATAATCCTTCGGCTTTTCTCTTATTTTTATTGTGACTACGAAAATTCCAACAAGTGCATTGTTATTCGTTGACAATAACATTGATTCAGGAGTTTATTGAGCGCTAAAATAAAATTTAAATATAACCTACAGTGTGTATTACCGTTTCTTTGCCATTCGAATGCGCAAGTCTAATATACAGTTACTCAATTCGCAATTTATCGAATCTGAAAGGATTAAAAAATCGGATATTTTTAATTTTTTCGGCAGATGTGGGCAACACTGCTGAAACATAATTTTACTTTCGCTAAGTAATCTACTGTTTATCATCCTGCTTGTGATGTTTTATCTTTGGCTAGGTTAATAAAATATGATTAGTTTTTTTGTAGGTAGGTGTAAAAAATTGATAAGGGGGATAGTTGTTTTAACTGGGACGTGAAGGTAACCAAACGGTTTGAAAATATGAAAAAAACCGCTGATAAGTAATAAAATATTATGAGATCAGGTAGAAATTCTGGGTCGGTTGTCCTTGTGGCTTGTTGAGTCAGGTACAGGTAAAAATGGTAAAAGTTCGACTGCACTGCTGTTGCCAAAAATAAACACTACGCTCAAGATTAAAGAAGTGTATAATCAATTATGTAATTATATAATCCAGAAAAATACTTTAATATAGCAAACTACAACAATTTCTTGCGCGAAAGATCCCCTTTTTCTTGGTACTTGTACACACAAACTAAATAATTATCCTTAGTTTTAACACTCTTGTTTCTTTTACGATTAGTTTTCTCCTTCCGCTTCAACAATTGAGACTGGCCTGGAATAAAATCATGAAATTCCACAACGTTATGAATTATTGGTAATTTACCTTTTTTGAAGAAATATCTACCGATAACTATAAACGGGGATTCAAATGCCAAACACCAAACACATGCCAATAAAAGTACCAGAATAAGGTCACCAAGGAACTGATGAATCTAAAAATGGCTTTAATAAATTAAATGTTTACAGTTGTCTTATATTATGTTGCGATTAGTACTAAGTTCAATCATTGCTACATATCTGTTAGTAATCAGATACTTACGTTCGTTAAATCAGAAAAATGATGGGATTGTCTTTTTCCTATAATAAGGTAATACAACAGGATTTCTTGCGTCAAATAAACGCTATATGACATCCTCACAACAACTCTGAATACTGACATTGATAAAAATTTATTAATTATACCTGGAAATTAAAAAAAATAAACGATATTTCCAAAAAGCACCATGTAGAAAAGAACCAAAAGAACAATTTTTTGGATAAAAACTATATTGGTAAATTCGATAACAAGGCGGAAATTGGCGACCTAAAAATGCTAAAAATTTGCCGTACCTTCTCGATTAACAGTGCAAAGAAAAAGTAAAACCGCAACGGCTACAGACCACAATTGCCTCGCCATGGAGTTGAACAAAGCCGAATTGACAGCACTATATTCATTACTTTTTACGAACACCAAATGTACCATTATTAAACCGACTATGACAGACGTAGAACTAAACCAACACAAACAGTTCACAATCTAAAATTTCAAGCAAACTAATTAATTAATTGTTGGAAGAATAGTTATTTAATTTTACCTTATTCAATCTTCTGTTTCTGTAATTGTAAATAATATATCCGAAAATTATACCAATGAACCAAGGAGGCATTCTAACCAACGTTGAAATGTAGATATTATTGAGGTATTCCTGATTTCCCCTGCGAAGAACAAGTGTCTAATAAATTTTTAGAACGAAGGGATTATGCTAGTATAAAAAGAAATAAATCATTCCGCAGAGTTCTGAAGAACTGCGTCAACAGTTTCTCGATACCGTCAATTTTTCGTTAAAGGGGAACACTTTCGACTGCGCCACTTTACAGGAGAGAATTCGATTCGCCTCGAAATATCCTAATTATTACAGAGGGAGTGAAGCAAAATGCCATTAGAATCTCTTTATATCGTTCGCTGTAATGTAAATTATGCGCATTAAAATTTATGTTTCATCATTGAAAACACTCATCAGCTATAGTAATAAAGAACATATGTATAGTCAATAAACAACTATTATTATATTATGACTGCACGTAGGTAACTACATGTCTAATACTACTTACTATTACATTAATAATAAAATAGTAATAAAATTAACATCTTACTCGAAATATATTGCTCCGTAGTTATTCTTCATGGTGATAACAAACGTGTATATAGCAGATATCAGGCATACTCCAATGCACGTAAGGATAGTCCTCGCTGGATAAGTCAATAAACCGCTCAGAACAATAGGAGAAATAAAATACAACTGCGAATCCACAGCTAGATACCAAGCGTGGTCGAGACACTAAAATTGGATGTACTTAAGTTCTAATTAGCAGGTGCAATTTTGATTGTACCTGATAATTAACGTCTACAAGATTGTTAACGAAAAACAGCGTGTGGAACCACAACTTGGAACAAACTCGAACGGTTTTTGTGGCTTGCAGGGGCCATATGGGTCCGGAATTTAGGTTCTTAAAAATGCTAATGTTGAATAGTATTAAAGCTAATAGAGCTGGGCTCAATCTAAAACAGTAAATAAGGAATAAAATAAATACATTTTTAACTTAGGCTTTGCTTAAGTACCTCAAAAATCTATACAAATAAAACGGCACTACAGGAATTTTCCTCATTTTTGGTAACATTCTTTTGTAGCTCAAAATTCCATAGGACAAAAGTAGACCGCTCAACATTAAAAATGTATCAACCGACAACGATGCGCTAAGAGTAAATGCAGTGAACAGCTGAGTTTTCCACTGAAAATATAACAAATCTTTGAATTATTAAAGAGCGAGGTCATTGAAATATTCACTGCATGTGATGCTTTAGAATTATCAGGTAAATATGTAATAATTTTGTATTTGTTTCCTTATTCTGTCTAGGCAAAATTTATCATTATTTTATAACCCGTCGCGTTCTTATCAAAGGACAATTGCGGAGGGAATTCTCAAATTTCTAACAGCTCCGTTCTTTTCTTATGCATAAATAATTATGTCATAGTGCATCAGAAACCTATAAAGACCCAAGTGTAAAATAATCAATAAATAAACTAGATTAAATTATTTTTTAAATTAATTGTGGATCTATCCCAAAGATATCACTACCTTCTTTTATTCTTTATCTTCCTTTATATTAATTTACTTTAATCCTGGTTATTTTATTCTCTTGTTCATCCTACTATCGGGCGTTAACTAAATGAACTATTCAATCAGAATTACGAGGAAGGAGATAAGAGCATGTACAAAATGTATCTTTATAAGTAAGTTAAAAAACGTACCTTTAGCATATAGGCAAAATTGGTGACCCCTGTCATAACATTCAGGACAACTCTGTGTCCATAGAGAACCCACAACATGCTCATGACTTTTATGCCACTTATCGCGGAAAGATAATCGAGTCCTTCTTGCTCATCGTTGATTCGAAATAGCTTTTTAGCGTTGGTGAAGACGGAAAAAGAAACCCAGAAATTATCGTCCTCTTTATCTAAATGTTACATTATTGTTTTAATGTTTAATGTCATTTATCACTTTCTCTTAAAAAGCAAATGTTGCAATGTAGAGAACGTTATTACTCACTTTTACTATTTTGATGAAAAATAACGTCGTATCCGGTAATTAGCAGCAAAAATGCCGCGTACAAACCGAAAGCATAACTGAAATAAGAATAAATAAATACGGCTCAATAGGTAACAAAAAATTAAAAACTTACTAAACGTATGTATCGATAACTAATGGTTCAATTTTGCTGTTTTTAGTACTGCACATCTCGTTGACGAAGTTAAAGTGCAAAGGAAACCCGAAAGCGTGTTCAAAGTAATCCCACAATTTTTGAATATTGCCTATAGTACAAGAATGGGGAACGCAAACACCATAGCTAACTTTGAACGCCCTCAACAAATCCGCTGTTTGATTGCTGGTTTTTATGCCGATTAAATGGGGTAACTAAAAATTAATTGCGTGTGATTAGTAAGAAATAGCATAATTTTGTGCGTATGGAACTCAAATCGAAAATATTTACACCTGAAACGTCCGTGAAAGGTAGCATATTATGCGCGGATTTACTGGACGTGAGGAACACAGTACAATATTGTCCGCGAATGACATTTCCTTTGATATTTTCTTCGATGTTTAAACATTGATCGAAGTTTCCGTGCATGAAGATGTTCCCAGCGAGAAGGCCGGTTGGGGGCTTTGCAGTGGCATCGATCACTGAAGAAAAGTAAATTAACAGTGGTAAATCTGCTGAGATACTTCATATTTATAAAAATGAAGCAATTACTTTAAAGTAAATGGTAAGAGGAAAAGGTTCTTCTCTGATCCATTTATAATATCCGCCTTTTTCTTGCAAGGAAACGCTTCGGATAAATGAAGTAAATGGTACAAAGATTAGAGATTTAGTCAAACTAGTCGAAACTAGTCTGTATGTTTCTAAACAGTTCTAAATGATTCCGGAGCGTTCTAGATTGATCTAGCCGGTTGTGAATGATTCTAGACAATTCTAGATGATTCTGGAGCGTTCTGAATTGATCTAGCCAGTTCTGAATGATTCTAGACAGTTCTAGATGATTCTGGAGCATTCTAAATGGTTCTAAACAATTCTAAATGATGGTGGGACGTTCTAGATTGATCTATCCAGTTCTAAATGATTCTAGACAGTTCTAACGTAAATGCACCCTGTCAACCATAACCCATAACAAACTGGGAAACACAGCCAAAATATTCAAAAATTTTATGTTATAAAAGCGGTATGGTGGCTGAATAACTACTGAAAAGATTGTGAAAAGTTGCTATGAACCCAGCAAACAAGTAACAAGCAAATCCTTCTCTTTTTATGCAAATGCTTCTTTTATAAATACGGAAAACATAAAACCTTTTGCTTTAAAGCAACAACACTTACTTTCTAATGCCCATTGTTTCATACGCAGTGCCTCGTTCACGACGGTTCTCATGTCCCTTGTGCATTGACTGTTCCCGCCGGCCACTTCCAGAATATGCTCGACTTTCTGGTTTATTATTTTCTGCATAAACGGTGGCAAAATGTTTAGTTTTACCCTCCTTGCTTCCATGCCTGCTAGCGCACTTACTAGCAGGAGTAAACTTGTCCAGGAGAAGTAAAGTGACATGTTCTTGTTGAAAAACTGTGGTGGTTTTCAATTCGTGAATACTAAACGAGTTATTCACTAATTCTGGATAGGTGATTTGGCCTGCGAATGCTCGCAAAGGGGTAATTGGTGTTTATCACAAACTGATAATTTTAATTGTTAGTGCTTCTACTCGCAATTTACGACTGAAAATTACTACTATCCGTCCACTGAATTGAGCTGCTATTATCTATTATTGTTTTTTGTACATTTTTGATTATTAAAACTTTTATAGGTGTTAAGGAAACGTTTTAAGTCTTAATAAATCTATATTAAAAACATAAATAAACTATACAAAATATAACGAATTAAATATTTTTGAAGATTCCTATAAACATAAAGAAATAGTGATGTTATTAAATGGCTCCAACCTGCAAGACAGGTATCAATAGCTGGAAAGCGTCTTGAACGTATGAACTGCTATTCGAAGCCTAAAAAATAAAAAACAAATTATTAATAGAGTAGTAAAATTATTACAATTTTACATATGAGTAATTGCAAATTTGTTTGCAACATGGTCTAAATGCAATATGGTAAAATTCTATGAGTTGAACAAAGAGAGGTTATTAAAATAACAGTAGTTAAAGCGAGAGAGTTGCAATCCCACATTATCTCTTTCTTCTTCCTTTATATGCAAGAGACTAATGAAAGTTGTCTTTGTTGCTCCCATAGACCACATTGCGTAAAAATTTGCATTAATGTGTATACTAGACTTTAGCTTCAGGTGAACTGGTAAAGCCAAAAATAATAATTTTAGGTACCTCGAAGAAAACATTAGTAATCAATTCACTTATCGAATCCTTATTCTCAGTTTGAGTTAATATGGCATTTAACTTTTTGGAAAAATTTGCAGCTACTAAACTTATTAGAGACGTCACTGCCATTGTCAACCTACAAAAAATGAAACTTATAGATATTTCCTTAATGAAGTAAATGATTATCATGTAAATAAAAGACAGATTCTTACTGGACTAAGCTATCAGCTTCATCAGCTGTACTTCTTTGTTCCTTAATAAGCAACAATTCGCCGCATTTGTGGAACTGCTCCACCGCAATGGCCGTAATTTGTGCTAGAACCTGCAAGGCCTCACGATGAATGTCCGTTTCATCGCAGAAATCTAGTTTGAGGGTATTCAGCCAATTTTCGCTCTCTTCGCACGTTGAGAACAGTTTATCGTAAGTTATCTTTACTTTGATGTCATTGACGGCCGTTTGAATCTTTTCTTTGATATCACTAAATAGTAATACTTCCTCGTCCTCCTCGTCAGGAAGCTCGCACAGCTCTTTGATTTGGTCCATTGTTTCTTGAAGGTCTTGGTATTCTTTTCCCGTGCAATTGTCGCTCAAGGTCTGTAAAAGTGTTGTAATGTTAATGAACAAATTAACAGTTTCACGAGTCGATAATTACCTGTAATTTAATATCGCATTGTTTTGATAGCATCTCGAGAGCCTCTAAATGCACTAATCCGTGATAGTCGTCGAAGAGAGTCTCGTAGTTTATCTTTTTCTTGTAATTTTCTTCCTTTAATATCTGGTTATCTGTTTCAGATCTTTCCTTAGCTTCTCTCAACATCTGCGAAAGCGTGGGTTTTTCTTTATCTAATTTTAAAAGAGCTCGTTTATTTTTTAACCCAGGATCGCCCTCTTGCAACACTTCCATAGTTTTCTTTCCGATGGTTTCTAAGGTGTCTAAACCGCCGGTTATGACTTTGGTGCCGGTGTTTTCGACGAATTTCGTTAAATGCGATACACCGGAAACAAAGTTGGAGAATCCAAAACCTAAATTCCCTCTGTTGCCTTCCGATTCGTTTATATGTTCTTCTATGATTCTGTCTTGCTTGGCGAGTTCCTTCGGATCCGGAATGCCTATACCTGTTTCTAAAACGGTGGTGAAGCCCTGCGATACTTGATTGGTTAGGGTCGAGACACCTTGAGTGGCTGTGGTAAGTATGGAGGAAACTCCCCAATTGCCCCAGCCTGACCAAGAGGTTTCCGGTTTAGTTTCGTCCTTTTGACTAGTTTCGGTTTTTTCTAATGTTTCCCAATCATCGTTGTCCCAACCATCCCACGTATTGACATCTTTGGGATTTTTAGTACCAATATTTTTAGCTGTATCACTTGTATCAATAACTGGCTGCTTAATAGTGTCTGGTTCTTTCTTAGTGGTAGAGAATGAATTCCAGTCTTCATTATCTTCCCACATGTTTTCTTCATTTGAATTCGATGCTGGATCATCTTGTGGAGCTATTAAATTACTGTCGCCTTGTTCATTTTCAGGTTCTTTGTTGATTAATGTGTTAGAATTAACTTCATTTATGTTTTTGATTTCATCGGTTTTTAGGTCTTGTTTCTCATTATCATATTTAGTGTTTCTATTTGTTTCGTCGTTATTTGAAATTAAATCATCGATGTCTTCATTATCCCACATATTTTCTTCTAGATCTAATGCTGTTGGAATGGGTCCATCTTTTAAATCTTTGGAATTAGATTCTACAACTTTTTCCTGATTTGATTGTGATAAACTTTCAGTGTTGGTTTTTTCGAACTTCTCATGTTCTTTTACTTGAATGTTATCGTTCTTTTCCTTCTTTATTGTATCACTTTTTATATTGCTAACTTCATCATTTTTTTCTTTATTTACTAATGTATTGTCATCAGATTTTGGATCTATTTCCGTTTTCAGATCATCCACGTCCGAATTGATTTCGAAATTATCACAAACCCTGTCTTTAACAATACTGTCTTCGGAAATATTTGCATTTGATAATTTTCTTTCGATGATATTGATGCATTTTTTTGGACCTTTCCCCACATATTCATCGTCCGAATCTGAATACAATTCTTCGTCCGCACTTTCAAAGTACTCACTGTCTGATGTCTCCATTTTCGAGCAACAATAAAAATCGGATTCTGAAACACAACTGTTTAAAAATTAGATTAGTTCAGCTGTATATGTTTTTTATTTTTATTTCAACTACGACAGACACAGACACGTATGTGTCACGTGTCACTTTAAACGTCACTGTCAAGTCAATTTCATTTTCTTCTTTTCTTAAGAATGACTTTATAAACCAAAATTTAAAATAGGACTTGCGGTCAATATTTAATTTATACAAAAAAAACTGTTTAATTTTTATATTTAAAATTCAAAATAGAGGAAATGTTTGCAAACCACTACGATTTTATTTCTTGTGAGCATCTAAATGACCACATCTACTGAGGCCATTATTTTGACAGTAGAAGAAAACATATGTTATTGACATATCTAATGTGACACCTGCCAATATTAAGTTTTCTATGAAATTGTATTTATTTGAGAAATGTAATTTATTAGCGCATTTCTAACATGCGCGACATAATATTTATTTATAGCAAATGTCGTTGCTCGAAGGTATCATCATAAGTTAAGGTCAGTCGACAAAATAAGTTCCTAATTTGGTTTATACTGTCCCAATGTAAATTCAAAATTGCACCTTGTACTTTGTATTGAAATGAAATTTTATCCATAATAATGAGATACCAAATCGCAGCAGTTTAGTAATAGTCCGTCATCGATTGGAGATAGTTGAATTTGTGCTAATGGTTTTCAACATGGGACAGAATTCGAGCTTGCCCAAGGGGAGAAGAAAATCTCTGCGGTCATTTACGAAGAAATCGTCAAAAAGCAATACGTTAAGTCACACGTTCACTATCAACGAAAGCGATGATAAAATAGATAGATTAAACATAAATATAGCCAGTGAAGAAGAATTGATGACATTAGACGGAGTTAACAGGGAAATAGCAAGAAGTATAGTGGAACACAGGAAAGCGATTGGTAGGTTCCGTAAAGTAGAAGATTTGGCTGTTGTTAGAGGCATAGGGGCGGATAAATTACAAAAATTGCGGCCAGAAATTTGTGTATCTTCGAGAAGGAGTCAAAGTTATACCTCATCAAGAGCACAGAGTTACGATAGTCTTAGAAGCTCGGAATCTAGATTAACATTGAAATCTAACAAACTCGTAAATATAAACAAGGCCAGTGTTTTTGAACTTCAAACTGTTAATGGAATTACTCAAGAAGTGGCTGCGGCGATTTTACATTATAGGACAAAGAAAGGAAAATTTAAGCAGGTAATTAATAATCGTTTAAATTGTATTCACATTGTCGCATGCATTTATTCTTATTGTAATTTAGCATATAATTGGAATAACAAGCATCAGGTAACGTAGTTTGAGCTTTGATTTACCAGGTCAATGTCAACATAAAAAAATCACATGTCAGGTCTCATAAATAATTAAAAAAATATATTTTTCTGTAGTTAGGAAAAATACACATAGTTTTAAAACAAATAAATCCTCAGTATTAAATAATATACTTTGGACGAACTGTTAACTGATATTTTATAGGTTTTTTACATTTGTTTCTTTCAAGATTACTAGTTAAATTTCTATCACACCTATTTTGTTAATCTCTAAAATATTATCAACACTTTTTGAGACCATGATTGCCGTCATGAATAACTAAATTTTTATGTTGGCACTCATCAGTCTCATCGCTCACATTATCAAATAACTTTGCTAAAAAGTATTGCTAATCTTCGTTTTAATAAAGTTGCGATTGTGATTTCGATTGACCAAGGATTAATTAATTTTTAAGCCCTTTCTTAAAGTACAGCACTCATACTTTTCGAAATCTGATAATAGGTAATACCTAAAAATGGATAATTCCGATAGTTTTTCCCATATAAATATCATCTTTGTATTCTAATCAAAAAATAAATTTCCATTCAATTACATTAATTTACATTGTGTGTTGATTTACTTTAATATTTTAACATTTCCTCTTTGTGAGTATGTAATTACTAGATTTGTTTGTGAGGTCACAGAATAAAAGCATCGTAGTTCGATTTTTTTTTAATGATGAATTATGTTAATAATAATAAATTATACACAGATATTGCTCTGAACAAATTAAGATAAAATATAATACTTGTATTACACTATTTCTGTTCATGATAAATGGGACTTTATATCAAAACGTAATTTTCTTTTTTATATATTCACTTTTTTGTTACCTGTTTTATTGTTTAATATTTGATTTCAAAACACCTATCTTATAGATAAACCCTAAAATGACTCAATTCCGGAAATTTTGGTCAATAAAAATTTATCAAATTTTTATCGCTGTATTAACAAGATTCTGTAATACTGTACCAATATTTGAACAGATAACAAATTGCATCTTTTCAAGATAGCACAGCAAAAAGAAAAATAAATTGACGTAGCTGCTCTAGATAAAAAACATTACCTTCAATTAATAACTAATCAATAACATATTGAATCAATAAGGCACATAATTGGGCCCTTATGTACATGTTATTCCATTCCAGATAGACGACTTGATAAAAGTAAAATGCATAGACTGCGTTCGTTTGGCTACCATCAGCCGTTATTTGACCACGGACGAAGAAGAAGAGTCCTCCGATATCGACGATAACAGGCCCAACATTTTGACAAACGGTTACACCATGCCCGCGCAGACCCTAAGAACCAACGGAGCTCATCAGAAGCTGCCGATTCGCAACGGTCTTAGCAATTCGAACGCCATAGACATATTTGAACTGCTCTCTACCTATTCCCCTCGACCCATCATCAGAGAAATCTTCAATTACAGCAGAAACGACCAGCCCGCCATTAGAATTGCTTCGTGGAATCTGCACGAATTTTCCTACGAAAAGGCGGGGAATTTGGGTGTTAAAGAAATTGTTTGTAGAACTATTTTGGAAAATGGGTAAGCTTCTTTATGAGCCCTTTACGCATAATTCTACATCATTCTGTAATAAATATTTTACATTATACATTATTTAAATTTGCTCGAGTTACATAACACATTGATAAAGCGTTTTATTATTGAAATAAAAGTAAGGTATTTTAACGTTTATTTTAATTTTTGCAGTTTTTCCATAATAGCTATTCAAGACGTATTGAATGTAACGGCGCTCAGAATAATTTGCGATGAATTAAACAATCCGAAATTGCAAAGAGTAAAAGAATGGAGCAAAAACAACCACTACAATTGGAATTTTTGCATGTTGGATGTACATAATTCGAAATTAGGATTTATATACGATTCCGATGGAGGTATTTTAGTATATTTAAATATTTAAGTATCTTTTTGTCTACTTGAAATAAAACGCGTATCAGACATTCGAGTGGTATTGAAAATGTATCATTCAAATTACCAGATATTTTTTGTTTAAGGTACAGCTGTTGATCTTTTATCGCTAAGTGAAGGTCCCACTGACACGAAAAAAGAATGCGAGGCGTTAGTCGCCTCGTTTAGAGTAGGAAATTCAAATTTGCAGCTAGTTAATTTATCGCTGAATAACAGTACAAATGTCGATGTTTTGAGCCAGAAATTTAAAGAGCTTACGTCCGAAAGCGACCTGCTTATGGTTTTTATCGATTACACCAAAGTGGATGTACTAATAGGTATTTAACTAAATTATTTATGGATTTTTTATCAATCTAATAACTATATTTACTTTCAGATGATCATTTCAATATTGGCGACTTAAAGCCGATTTTTTCGCAAAATGCCCGCACAAACTTCATCAATCCGCCCTTACTCGGTTCAAATTGCCATACGACGAATATTTTGCACAACTCCAAGGCTCAGAAACAATTAACTGGATTTAATGGCATTGTTAAGCAGGGTCTGATACACCTTGCTATTCCGAACGGTTGGTCTTGGGGTGGACCGGCCAGTCCGTACTGTCCCATTTACACCGAATTATTCACAAATACCTCGGATGACGTACCTGCTTTGTGATATTTAGTTTTACTTAGCTTAATTTTTACGGTTTTTGATTACATATCAGACGTAATTTAGGAAAATGGATTCAATCACAAACTATATCATTCATTCGAAATGAAATAATTAGACGAATTTAACTTGATCAGAGTCTAACTTTGTAGTTAAGTAAAATTTAATTGGTTTGTGAAATACGGTTAGGTTATTCTAAAACCATAAATTTGTAAATTGGTAATTTTCTTGTACTTTGATGTCTTTTGTGAAGTGAGATTTCTGACACATTAGTGTTTCTAATATTTACTCTTACAAATCAATAATCAATGGTGAACACTTTATGCAAGTCAGTTTGTTTCCAGTGAAGAGCCAGAGGTTTATTAGAACCAAATGGTTTTGGTAGCAAATCGTAGAAATTTATTCGAGTTTATTTCATTATTCACATAAATTGCCGCCATAACTTCATCTATTATTCATGCGTTTTTGTTTTTTAAATCTTTTCAAGTTACTTTTTAACCTTGAAACAATTTGTACGATTAAAATAATAATTTGATAATTTCAATTGGACTAGGAAGGTGTTTTTTACACGCTTTTAATCTTCTTAAAAACCTATTAGGAATTGTCCAATGCGTCAGATTGAACTATTTCCGACATCTATAGTACATCTGTACAGTTTATCACACAGTACAAGTAACGTAAAACAGTTATTGTTGTAAAAATTTGCACATAAATTAATGCTATTCTAATGGAGGTAAAACTTGATATCCTCGGACGTTTGACTTTTAGGATTGGTAAAATTCATGATAAAAATTGATTCTATTGGATTATTTTTGGATAAGAAATCTGTTTGTGATTTGTAAAACTTCTAAAAAGATTATATAAAAGGCAATTTTTATAGAAAAAGGCGTTTTGTCAAGGGCCAATTGCACTGCTCACCTAACGTTATTAAGTGTTTTTCAAAATAATTTTAATTAGGCATTAAATTGCAAGAATCAGTGGTGAAATGAGCCCTAAAGTGTACATTACATTACAATTTTCTATAAATTTTGAATTCACCTACTAATAAATGCAAATTGTGTTAAACTAAAAGAAAACTTTTAACATAAGGTACACTTAAATGTTTTACCTAATCCTAATACGTATGAAATAAAAACTCTACTTGATGAATATAGTACAATTAAGTACAAAATAATTTATTTTATTGTAGAAGACTCCATTGTTTTTTGACATATCTCGTTCAATAATTAGATTTATGGAATTTGCATCTAAAAAACTTCATCTTCATTGCTTCATCACAAACTTTATACATACACTCAAATTTGTTAGATTTATATTATGCTTCAATTGTAAAATAAATCATTTGTATTGTCGTTGCAATAGTATAAATTAAGTAATTTTCAGTATTTAAGTAAACACTTCAAGCGGTAAATCACATTTAAGATATTTTGCATATTTAAATATGTGCCAAACATACGTACTATTATTACTAAGAAATTTGAGGCTTCATCACAATCACATTTTTTGAAAATATTGAAATGTTAGGCCTACTAAAACGTATAAAATATATTTAAATATAGGCAAATATATCGAACAAACTATTTATGAAGTTTTCTACAAGTTTAAGAACTTTACGGAGGCTTCTAGGCTGTGTGAAAAATATAGACTATTTTTTCAATTCAGAACTTTGTAATACTCTTCATATCTTGTATTAATTTAATTGATTCATTTACTTATACATATTTTGTCTAAAGTGAAAATACTTATTTATTTATAATAAATGTTTTATCTGTTTTTTATTGTATTACTTTCGTTTAGTTTAGTCTATTATAGTGAATTCTGAGCTCTAATGGACTTTTCTACTCTATTGACTATTTTATGTTATATTTAATAGTCTATCTAATATTAGCAGTCGCTATTTTATTATTATGATCAATATTCACATTCACTCATCAAAAATTATTACTTGTGAGCTGCAAAACAACAGGCCCAAACATGCAGTAGCTCCGTACAGGAAAAGTAAAAGGCCACAAAATATTGACTAGCGTAGAATTTATCAACACAACAAAGTGGTGTATTCTAAACTTTTAATCAAAAGTAAACAAAATTAATTGTTGTTAACGATAACCACCTGTTAGTTTGGTATTGGCTGAACATATAACCAAAATAAATACAAACTAAGCGCAATTAATCATAATTTATCGGCGGAATTTCATCATTTACGCCTGTGTACTTCACAAACCACTAACTCTTATAGACGAGTCACGACAATGTTGTTTTAAGAAGTAAAAAAGCTCCATCTAGAGGTCTGGTCTAAAACTATTTGCCCAAAAAAAAAAGTTGGCGGCAGTTTTAAACTATATGTACCAATATGATTTTTTAATATTAAATTGAAATGAAACAGTTTTAAAAAAATTGAAAATGTATTTAAATATATAAAATAAAATGTAAATAATTATAAAATATACGTATACATATATGTATAAAAATATAACTAACAAAATAATGAAATTAAACGAAAAATACTTAAACTACAATGAAACAAAGTACATAACAAATATTTGCGCATTTAAAGATATATAAGTAATTATAATTAAAATAATTCAATTTGATGAAACATACATATAAAATAAAAGCAAAAAAGTTTTAATTTTAACACTTACAAAAATGAAAAAAAGCAAAGTCTTGAAACTATTATCTAAAATATATATTTTGCCTGTAAAATTAGACTCTTATTTAAATTAGCAAGGTATACCAAATAAAAAAAATGTGCCTTTCATTATCATGAACAATATTGGATCACAGAAAAGGCTTTTTAAAAAAAATTTTTTTCGTCAATCATTCAACAAAACCAAAATAACGTATCATTATTAAATATTATCTTATAATAGGATTATAATACAAATACCTATATTATTAAAGACAATAAAGAATTTATATAAGAGATGAGAACATTATATAAGTAATTATATAATTCAAATGAAAAAAAAAACAAATTAAATCTAACTTATTAAATTAATTGAACGGTATTAAAAATTGTAAGAATTTGACTATATCTAATGAGTTTTATCTCACATTTAGAATAAGTACAAGAGGGGAATATAAAAAATGAAAGTAAAACTCAGCCCAAATACTTATTGCATTACTGGCTATATAATTACAATTGATTAGTCAGATAAATAAGTTTAATATAAATTTAATATGAATAGAATATATACTTGATGTTAAAAATTGTAATAATATATGGCTATTGAAAAAAAACTATTGTCATTTATATTATACCCAAATATGGCTGGTGTTTTTCGTTTCTATTGTTTGATTCATAAATTCAAATTAACATTTTTTACAAATATTAATCTCGACATGGAAAATATGTTTAAAAATATGTAATAAAAAATGTTAGTTACAAGAATAAATAAAATCAAAGGAAAAGGATCTAATGACCTACAATTAGGAGCTTAAATAAAGATTATATTGAAAATAATTTCAGATAATATAAAAACTTTGGAAACCATACTTCTAACCCATTATGTTTGTAATTTGCAGGTTTTTAAAACTTTTCTACTGAGCGCTATCCCTTTATAAAAATACATTTGTTGAATATGGTGGTTAGCTAGAATTTACATACATATGTTAAATCTTGTTTCTTTTATTTTTAATTCTTTTTAAATGAATATTTTTCGCTTCTATTTTAGTTTTATTTTTACCCGTATAAGTTGATTTTTTTCCTTGTAATATTCTATTGACTTGTTTGCACCAATTATGCAATAATGTTTTTATTGTTATTTTTAAAAGTAATTTAATAATATTGGATTTATGGGTTTGGCAAGTTAAAAATTCAAAATTTAGATTGGAGTAAATTTGTCTTGTTATTTGTTGTGTTAAAAATTTAGAATGAGGCTGCTCATCTAAACAGAAATTAATAATTTTTGTTATATCATAAAAACATGATACAAAAGAAGGACTTGGATAACAAAGTCTTCTAGCCCAACCACCATATTCTCTTAAGCATATTAACCTGTACTCAGGAGCATTATAATTTTTAGTAAACATTGAATTTTTACAGTCCGAGCAATTTATATATTTTTTAATTTTTTTTATAATATAGCCAGCTACATAATTAGAAGCTAACGTTTCAAATTTTAAGGACAAACTTGTTTCTTGTCGAGATGTCTCACAAAAAACAAGTTCTTTTATTGATTCGTCTTCTAACTGGCATTTTTGTTCATTAAATAATTTTTGTACTGATGTAAATATACTTAAACATTTATCATCTTCACAATTAAACGTTTTTTTATAAAGGGATAACGTACTATTGAAATAAAGAGTTTTAAATATACCTATAAAATAAGAAACAGAAGGATTGGTATGAAGAACTCCAAAGCTTCTCAATTGCCCAAAAGAATTTTCTAGAGGATCTTGATTTAATCGGCGAGTTAGTAAATAATCAAATCCTTTCGATTTTAAAAAGTTCCAAATTTGTTTAACATTTTTTATAACAAACGACCAATTTTTTAAACTCGGAGGGTTTGCATGGTCGTATCTAGACCTTCTTTCAAACGTCATTGAATTTAGTAAAGGTAGAGCTTCCTCATTCCAAAAACGAATATGATCAGAGGAATTACTTACCCCACACCGCAATATTTTACCATGGACAGGTGTTTTAATTGATCCATTTAGTGAATCAAACAATCTATCGAAAAAGAATAATAACTCAGCCGTATCTTGGAGATTATTTCCAATTATTTTCTGATTATCTGTAAATAAGTAAATGCGTTATAATACTTAAAACCACTTTTTGTTCAAAATGTACTTACCAATCTGACTAGCCAATTGGAGTGTTGATGCAAACCTCTGACTAAATATTTGGACAGCGTTTCTTACTTTCATTTTTCGTATCTTGTCCTCATAAATGTGCTCATCTGTAATATGAGGCAGAACCCTTAGACCCTCAATTGGACCGTTATCACTTTCATACAATTTTTTAATATGAGTCCAAGTTGCTCTTTTTTGTACATTACCTTTTTTAAAAAATAAGTCTTTTTTAATAAAATTATTCCTCATTCCTTTTATTAGATGGGGTGGGTCGAAAATAGGGAATACCTTAAAGTCTCCAATTTCAAAAGAACCATCTCGATATTGATCAAAAATGTTATTTCTTATAAATTTTTCTTTAGTGTCTTTAATTAAACTATTTATTACACTTGCATTGTCTTGATCACAAATTACAGTTATGGGTTTTAGATCGATTTGTAATAAATTATTTATTGCTTCAGTTAAAATTTTTTTAATGTTAAGTGTTTTAGCCCCACCTCTACCAGAAAAATGGTAAGAAATTGGAGCCTTCCACTGCTTTTTTAGTCCTCTAATCATCAAAACTAATACATGGTCTGCAATAAAACTCTGCCTGTTTTCTCCCATATCCTCAAACCCTTCTATGATGCCAAAACGTTCATTAAAATGAAGACCAGGCATAATTGACATCTCATCAAAAAGAAGCGCTACATATTTATCGGATGAATCCATTTCTCGAGTTATTTCTTTAAGTGATTCAAACACAACATCTTTTAAACCAGGTCCCCCCACTATATTACCTAAAAGTCTAGTTAATGTAGATTTACTTGGCAAAATAAATATTTTTGATAAAAGTGCATAAGATTTTGCACTTTGTTTAAACAAAGATAAAGCTAAAACCTTTTCTTCGAGAGTAAAGCGGTGTAATTTTCTTGGTTTTTTACACTCTCGAAGCTGGCATTTAATAATTATATTAGCTAAGCAATTAAACCTTTCTAAATTTACATCTAACTGATATTTAGAAGCAAAGTTTTCTGCCTCAAATAATCTAGTTTTAAAAGTTTTTTTTTTAGACTTTTCTGTTTGATACCTTTTGTGTATATTCTTCATGGCAGAATACATTTTTTGCTTTTTGGGGGTAAATGTATATCTTGAAGCTCCTATTTCTCTTAGCATCTTAAGAGGAGTTACTACATTATCTTTTCCTGCAATCAAAAAAGGGGTTTTAATTTTCGTTTTGTACATTTGGTTATTTTTTACCTTTATTCTTTGTTGAAGTTTGAACTTTAACAGTTTCCTGTTTGGGCATAAAATAATTATGTTCTTCTATTACATCTAAAATAAATGATAAAATTATAAATTATAAAAAAATAAAACTTTTAAAATATTTAAAATACATACTGCATAATTGCAATGGCTGCACCTCTAAAGACAAATCGTCCCCTACAATGGCACCTAAAATAAAAAATAAAATTTCAATGAAATATTTCATTAAATTTATAAATATTTATGGTTATACATACTTTTTGATGTTGATGGCTGCAACTCTGGAGATAAATTATTTTCACCGTAATTTTTGTCATTTGATTCTAAAATGAAAATTGAAATAAGTTTTATAATATGCATAAAAAATGTTATTTTTTTCTCACCAGGTAAATGTAAAGTTGGGACAGCATTTAAATGTAGTCTATTTGATGTGGAGGACATATATTTTTCCTCAAAATGCCTATTACAAATGCGTTTTCTCGTGAACACTAACATGGGATCCATTTCACTCAATACCGTAATATTTAATGCATTTATCCACTTTTTAAACCGTTCAATATCCTTAGTGGGATTTGGAAACAAATGCCGAATTTTATCATGATATTTGCAATTCGGAATACAACATTTTTTATTATAATAAGGCATGATTATTTATACACAATTTATACACAACAGCACAGCACTCAAAGACAAACACAAAGAAATCAAATGAACGCACAAATGGCAACGACTATAATAACTATTTTGGTTGTTTGTGGTACAAACACAACCACTATATTCTAAAAATAAAGCTCTTAATTTAATAATCTTATCATAAAAACCCCACGAAAATTACCCTCGTCACTCAACAAGTGATTCCCACATTCCATAGGCAAATGGCATAATTGCGCATGCTCACATATTTGTAATGTTTCCAATATTATTTAGTAGACATCCCGGTTTACAAATTGGTGTATATAAAGTTGTCTACATTGGAAAAAGTATCTAGACTGCCATCTAGAGTTATGGTCTAAAAATAAAGTTTTAACTCGACCTTGAGTCATTTGCGTGAAACGTCTATAAGAGTTACTGGTTTGTGGTGTACTTATAATTTTAGAAGTGATTTTTAATTACACGTAGTCTCGTTACCGGAATTATTTACTGTTTGCCAGCCGAATAATGTCGGAGTGTGAAAACAAGAAAATATTGTGTCTATTCGATGTCGATGGAACGTTAACTAAGCCAAGAAACTCCATTGAAGATGATTTGTACACCTTTTTACAGGAAAAGCTAAAACCAAAGTGCTCCATAGGTTTAGTGGGTGGATCTGATTTTAAAAAAATTGCGGAACAAATGAAAGGCGACGATGTGATTAAAGTCTTTGATTACGTCTTCCCGGAAAACGGACTTCTCCAATACAAAAAAGGCGTCGAAGTAGGCAGACAGAGCATCCAAAATCATGTAGGAGAAGACAAACTGCAAGGGTTAATTAACTACGCGCTGGCCTATTTATCCACAATTAAGTTACCCGTGAAAAGGGGCACCTTCATCGAATTCCGAACGGGCATGCTGAACATATCACCGATAGGAAGATCCTGTTCCCAGCAAGAAAGAGACCAATTCGAAATGTACGATAAGAAACACGAAGTGAGAAAAACCATGATCAATAATCTAAGGAAAGAATTTGCAGACTTGGGCCTAACGTACAGTATCGGTGGGCAAATCAGTTTCGATGTATTTCCTAATGGTTGGGACAAAACGTACTGCTTAAACTTCCTGGAAGCAGAAGGCTTTGATAAAATTCACTTTTTCGGAGACAAGACTGACAAGGGGGGCAATGATTATGAAATTTATAATGATAAGAGAGTCCTGGGGTACAAAGTCACTGGCCCATTGGATACCAAAAAACAATTAGAGGATCTATTTCATATATAAACGTATTGTAAAAATAAAATAATTTTTTACATATTATGCATCGTATGCAATCAATTTTAATAAACTAATTTTATTCATGTTGTAGATTTTTTAAACAAATTTTCGAATGAATCGATCAAGGATAATCGTATAATTTAATACCAAATACCAGGTACAAGAAAATAAGAAGAAAAAGTACTTCAAGTTGTATAAATAAATTTTTCACCAATTTTAAATGCCTGTTTCTATAAATATGAACATATTTAATATTTCTTTTTAATTTAAAATAGAAAAAATATTTGAAAAACTGTCAACTGTCCATTTAGTCAGTAGTACCAAGCTACAAATATCCAGTATTGACAACAGTAAAACAGAAAAAGTCACTAAGTTATAATTTAAAAAAAGGGAAAATTCAAATCTGAACGACATTCCGTTGTTTTTATTATAAATTAAAATTATCCAAACTATTGCAGATCTAGTACGTTCTTTCCAATATTATTGCCGATGCGGCAACGGCATAAGGATAGTTTTTGCATGGATGTCCCTTGGATGAATTTGATATTTGGTATATAACTGTGAATTCCTTTAACTTTAGTAAGTACGATGTAGATTATAGTATAATAGTCGCATTCCTTAATCCTTACTCGAGGCTAAGAGCACTCCATTGGTCCAATGTCTTTACGTCAAGATAGCGACAGTGTTGTCAATTGAGAAGCTTTACCAAATGTTTACGAATTTTATGGAAATCATTCGAATCTTGATCTTTACTGTTATTGGAACATACATAGTTCGGTAATCATAATCAGCACTAGACCATAGTGGCCGGTATTAACATGACATGAGATGTACTGGAAATGATTGTTAATTGTTACGAATTTTTATCATTATATTATGTGGGATTTTCTAAAAATTGGCACGAAAAAAGTGCATATATGCGGCTGTTAATTTGCAAGTAATACGCTATCATTTTGACAATTATGACAAAATTTTATCGAGTTACCAAAGGTTGGTAACACTAAAAACCCTGTTATTTTTTACTGTAGATATTTTTTGTTTATTTTTAATAATGATGCGTATTTCCATAAAACATCGATTTTGTGATGTTTAAATGCAAGTTCAAAATAGTGCCAGAATAATGATTATAAGGGCATTTAAGGGGATTTAAAAGGACACATTGGCAACATCTATTTTTAGTGATAATATAATTTTATAGAAGTTTTTTTTGTAATTTATTTATTTTGTGAATCTAGTGACCTTTTCCTGTGAAACTGAAACAATTTTACATTATGTTGTCAAAAAAATCCAAATTTTTTTTTATTACAAATATCTTTTTAAATAGTTTTTAATGTTAGTAAAATGGCTAATTAGTAAAGAAGTAACATGTGGAGATAGGGCTTATACAATTTTTCCCTTATGCATTTAATATTTCGAGACAATCCCCTAAATTTAAAATTTTTAAAAATGTCAAGTGACAAGTTATCAAACTGCATAAATAAAATCACTAAAAAATGTTACTGATTTTTACAAGTATTTGCAGAATTTTCTTAAAAATTTGGTATCCAATTAGTTACGACTCGAATTCTTTATAAACAAATCGTTTTACATAAATGATTTAGATTTAGAAGTTAGGTTAAAGCAGATAGGCAACATCGCAAAGTTGATAATGTGGTATTCAACATGGCGGCGTAGTCAGTGTTGTGTGTGCTAGTTAAAGTGGATTGAATGGATTTATTCGTGAATTATGCCGAGAAAACGTAATGGTGAAATCCCTTTGCCCGACGGTTGGGATTTCGGACGAGATTATGACGGGAAAATTTATTTCATTGACCACATTTCCAAGAAAACTACGTGGATTGACCCCAGAGACAGGTAGGAATAGTCACATTCCATCGTACCTACTATCTCTTTGCTGGTAAAAAGTTGAATGACATTTTTAGAATTACATTTTCGTTATTAATAAGATGCAATTTTCCAATCGCCACCCTAATATAGTGCATCTTCGGTCGATTCCCAATCGAAAAGGTACTGACACAAATAGGTATATTCTAATTAACATTCCAAACCTACCCAAGAATTCATTGTAAAAGTTTACTCAAACATTTACATATTTCACTCTAAATAGAGCCGAAACACCTCCAAAGCGATAGAACGGAATCCGTCTAGCGTGCGTAATGCAACAAATTCCTGAATACAATTGCAATTTAAAAGGCCTGCTTAATAAAATAATATATCTGTTTAGATATTTAATATTCAAAAACATGAGTGAGCGTGCTGCCGCCTGGTTGAAAATATGCGCAAACGAAAAGATAAATATTAGATTGTTGTGTCTAAAAATATTTACAATCTTTCCGTGAATACGTTTTGCGTCACCAGATGAAATGCAAATTAAGGATCTTGTGAAATTTTCAGTGTTGTTGAATTCGCGTTTTCACGAAACCGATGAGCGCGAATCGAGCGCTAAAAACAAAAACGCGGAGCCCCCCAAAGAAAAAGGCTAAATTCATTTAATGCACTTCGCTTCATCAAATGAGTAATCGGGACAATCATTCGACTGATTAATTCTAAATTGTAATAACGTTCGACTACTGTTGTTCGTTTCATACCAGAATTTATTATTTGTGCGATTTTCTACTCGGTTTTTTTGCATGTACTATTTTACTGATTAATGATAGCATGTAAGCCGATTAGATTCGTATAGTAATTTTAAAAACATTCCTAATCAAACTAGGTCAAAATTTAGTTACAATTCAGCGCTGTAAATTACTTGTTTTATTGTTTAAATTAATTATCTAGATGTTACTTTTATATGCTCTATTAGTCGGTGCCAATGTACTTCAGTTAGACGGAATGTAATTAGGTATATTTTACACAAAAAAAAACAAGTAAAGCAGAAAGTCAAACACGAGTAGTCGCAATTAATTATACTTAATAAGTTGTTTGACTGTTAATTGTCACAGGCCTTTGTTAAACAATAAGTAGAATAATTGGATATATATTATTTAGAAAAAAATGATTGGAGAAAAAAATTAAATGCCGCAAAATGAGGTTATATGATCGTAAATATGTAAGTATGGGTCTAAATAGGGGCATGTTGGGACAATATTGAAGTGAAGAGATATTCATTTAATTGAAAGTGTTTTAATTAAAGTGTTAGGTAATAATTCAAATTCTCAGGAGAAGCAAATTATCCACCCAGATGTAATTAAAACATCCAACAGAGGGTCTAAGAAAGCCTTATCTCTGACGTTATTTCAAAGAAAACATTCTTTTACATATTTCAAATATATCTATTGAAATACCCTGTATATCCAAGTTTTATTAGGTGCTATTAAATTTTCGAGAATGGATTTAACGCTTTTCAAACATTTTTTGAATGGGGGCATTTATTTAAATATTTTATTACCTACTATGTGAAATACAGTTAAGCGGTAATTGCGGACCATTTTACTTTTAATATAATTTAGAGCGACGTCAAAACTGTTGAAAAATCATGTTTAATATCTACATATTTTTATAGCCGACAGTAATACCAAATTTCCAGCGGCGTAAAACGAATTTTATGGCGCTTTTTTAAAGCCGTGTGCCGAATTTAGTCAAAAACCATTGTGGAAGTATATCCGAGATAGTTTTAACGATTATTTGGCAAATGCTATTTGCATGACTGAATTTGATAATATCGAATATAGTTAATTACACCGAGTAATAATTTCGTAATATAATTTGGGCCAAAAATAGAGTTCAAACACAAAGAAGGTTAATTCGCAAAAGCGTTTTGTAGCGCGAAAACGCAATTGTAATAAAACCAACTATAAACTAGAGTCGGATTTTAACTCCGTCAAGAGAAAGTATTAATATATGATAGTCGGATGATAGTAGCGTTGTAATTTTTTACGATAATTAACATTCCTCGGTTCAAGTCGACCTCCTACTATAACAACATAACGCGGCGGCAAAATTCCAAAGGCGAGGTCGATGAATGTTGGCCGATTACCATTTTCTAGCAGCACATCTAGATGCTATGCTTTCCTGTTTTGACTCCGAAATAGTCGCGAGTCGCGAGCACCGTTTTGGCCATTGGAATTTCGTAACGCGATTTTTCGCAACGGCGCATTCCGAATTTTAATAACCGCCTCTCCGGCTTACGCACAATTTAACTTCGAAACGTTTTTTTTTTTTTATTGGAAGATTCGAATTCGTCGAATCGAACGTTTCAATGCGGTTTTCGCGTTTGCCGGAAATTACGAATTTAGTTCATCGAGGTCTACATTATTGGACGGGTCAAGCGTGATACATCAAAGTTTTTAATTGCCCTAAAAATAGATATTTTAATTTTCTGCATTTAATCTTTCGATTTCGCACTTTTGCGGATGGATAAGATAAATTATTGTTGAATGTTTGTTGTTTTTTTTACATGAACTTTGATATTACCACCACATATCAGTCTTGTTTGACGCATTTCGTGTTATCAAATGCACGAGTTGTTTGTTTATAAATTGAATTATCTTTAGTGTTAAAAGGAGCACATGTTGTATCAAACTTAGGAAGTGATTTACCAATTTAAATATCGACTTTATAAACTACAAATATACTTTTTATTTAATTAATAGTTTCACTAAAGAAGTTTTAGAATGAGATCATTACAACCTTATCTTGAACGATCTTGAAATATTGGCACGAAATTCTAAAATTCTATTTAAAATTATTTTAATTATAACTAATAAAAGATATTTTTAGTATTCAAATTCCATGTTACATCTAATAGTTCAAATTCATTCGAATTCATCACCCAAGTTCACAATAGTCTTCTTTAATTCAAACGTATGTACGATTAGATCAGATCAAATATTTATGCACATATTATTTACCAGAAATAGTTTTTTGGCATGACGTGATTCGAAGACGCCAAACTGTCTAATATGAATATTCTATTTTGTCTGCAACACTGAACCTACATCGTCGCGAATGCGTGGTCAAGACATAATTCACGCACAATTTTATTTCTGGATGTCGAATGTGGTTTCTCGGAAAAATGCGCTTTTTATATACCTACTCCGCATACTTTTTCAACTATTTTAAATGTCGCTATTGCAAACGCACGTTCAAAGATTCCATTCGGAGTTGTTTCATTAAACTAATTGAAATTATCTGATCGATAAGCATTTAAAAATTCAAGATGGCCTATTAAAAATGACAATGTTATCGATTTAATTGGCGATTAATCGGCCGCGCCCGGTATAGTCTTTTATAGAAACTTTGAATAACCTCTCAAACTGTGAAGAGGTGATTTAAATTTTTCGTTACGTAATTATACAAACTATTAAGCGGTACATTAACACCTTTAAATTTATTCAAATGAACTAATTGCTAGATTAATGTAGCCAATCGTAAGTCCATTATATCATTTAAATTATACATTTTCACTTATTTGGAATGTATTACACAAAAGGCCAGGCGCAAAATTATCGAATTATTAAAATTTACATATTTGTATGAGCACCGTGTGTAATAATGTTTGCTGTACCTACTCTTAACAGGCCAGCCGAATTTTCTTTTGTGATATATTTAGAATAAATTAGCGAAGTTTATTTGGGCGATTTTTATTCTCGAAATGAAACTATTTGCAATGTGACACGGTGGAGATATGTCGTTAATTGAACAATTCCTCTTTGTTTTTAACAAATTTTTAACGGCTGCGAAACTAATTAATTTTTTTCGACGGTACTTATTCTGATGCAATAAATAAAGACCGGATTAAGTATAAGAATGAAACGAAGTACATATTATAAAAACAATGCAAGAAGGTGAAGTAAAGGTGCGTAACACTTGTAAACACCGTTACAAGAGCATTTACGTCCATATATTATGTATGTTACAATATGGAGAGTTGTAGAAAACTTTAAGACTTTCTGCATATATCGTTACTTGTAAATAAATTATAACATTTGATAAAAAAGGGAAGATTTTGTTCAAAATAGCGTACAATAAAAGCCAAAAATCACTCATCAATTTTAGTTCTGAAGCTAATGGAAATCCTCATATAATCCTGACTTTATGGAATCAATTAATTCATTTTCGTTTTTTAACTTTTACATCATATGTAAAGGCTAAATTAAAAACATGGCATAGGACGGATAAACAGTTTAATTGGCGGACTTTTTGCAATTTTCGCAGAATTCTGCATCAATGCATACACATAATAAAAATCAGGTTTAAAAATATCCCGAGACATTGAAGGTTTACCATCATTAACTTTTAAAAATAATGCGGCAGATAATTGCAAACAGCATGCAAGTTCATTCCTCTCCATCTTCTCTTACTTCTTCTTCTATTGCAATTCAAGAGCTGCAATATACAGGTTCGGCTTAACATTTTATCGCCCATCGAAATGCGCTAAACGAATTTAATGATTCAGGCCACCTCTCAGCAGATTATGTGGGCAAAATACTAATCGTGTACAATGTAAGTAAAATATTTTTTTAAATTTATGAAGTCATTAAAAATGGTTTGTATAGTGTAGTAATTGGCTGAAACCATAGTAAAAATGTCAAGGAAGAATTAGATAGTTAAAAAGTATGCAGTAATTTCCTCATAGAAATTCTGAATTTTCACGTAAGATCAAAATATTTTAATGTCAAGTTGTCATTGCATAGTTTTCTATTATCGGGCTAAAACTAACCCTGTAAATAGTAGGTTTAATGTACACGTGGTTTGCGTGTAATAGAATCATTTTTATTAATGAACGCCAGCCCTAAAGGAGGAAAAGGAGTGCTGCCGATGATTTTGTATTCCATTTTCGTCGACGACGCGACGACCATATAGAAATACCAGAGGGGATTTGATTTTATTAATGCAGTTATTTCCATGCCGAATAAATGACATGGCAATTTCATAATAAATAATAATAGGAATATAATAAAAATTAATTGGCGCGAAATTATCTAAACTGCTATGTAGTTTGGAAAAGTGGTAATTATTCGTATAAATGATAGATACTATACTATTAAACAAGTTGGCTCTAATTTTATATTCAAATAACTGTTTTTAGATTCCTTTTCTAAAAATGTATCTTTATACACCTATTTGAATAACTGTTTGGTTTAAAAATATTTATAATGGATTATTTTTAGACAGGACTTTTAAATTAAAGATAAACATTTCGTTTTAAACAAATAGACGTTAAATACTAATGTCCGCATAAAGTAACATAATTCCATGATAATGTTGCCAAATTTCTCCTATATTTTCAAATATTTCTCCTTCATATTAAGTACTATGCGTACCTACTTCTCTAAAATATAGAATTTTTCAAAATATTTCAATTAATTTAAAGAGAAGCGAATGCTGCTCTTTTTTCTAGGTCGCCCCTTTCTACGGAAGCAACTGTCAACTTGTTAGTTTTTTTTGCAAGTACCTGCTAGTTAAAAATGAAGCCGCGTCTAATTAATTGCATTAATTTTTTTAATATCTGTGTAATTACCGATCGATTAATAATCACCTAATTAACGTGTTCCTCGAGTCAAAAGTCTTTAAATTGAGTGATTTCAAGTTGTGGCATTGCTACAGCAACGTAGGTAGCTGGTAATGTCTTTTTAATTGCGTTTGCTTGCAATTAATTTATTTTAAAAACTGTGTGAAAGTATTTTTTACATCATATAGTTCCTACATGTTGGCTTAATTTCATTAGAACCAATACGAGGCTAATGGTAGCGAATTTGTCGAATCAAATTAAAATTTACCATAAATATGTTTATGTTAAAACAATTTAAATGGAAACCATTATTAATCACACAAATGGAATGTCTGAGCGTGCTTAATCATTGATATTGTTTCACCTATAGATGATAGTATTCGTAATGGACGCATATAATCTTCGAAGTCTGACTAATACTAGCCATTCCGCGAAAAAAAATCGACTTATATCATGGAACGCGTCAAAATTGAATAACATTTCTATTTTTACAAAAGTACCCCATCGATATTTGGCCTAGATTGAGGGAACGCTTTCGCGAATAAGAAGACTCGCAAATTAATGGCATATAGGCATGTGTGCTGCTTTCCTAGCATGATGATTAAATCGATTTTTTATTGAATTGCAAATACAATGCCCAGCACGGGGTTCCATTTAATTTAATTGTTTTTCGGGGTATTGTGAATATTTCCAAAGTCTGTAGTTGAACTCTGAAGTTGAATTCAACTATAATACAATGTGTGGATAGGTACTCATTAAAACAAATTTAATTAATTACAATATTTCGGCTCCTACTTTCCACCTGACAAAATTAAATGTGTAAAAGTGGTTCTCGACATTAACAAAGCACACAAGAACGCGTTATTAAACGATTACCAGTTGTCGCTTGTCGATGTCTATTTGACCTCAAATAAAATAATGCTTCCGAGATGAATGTGTTTTTTAATGATTACGTTGATAATGAATGACTAAAAGTTGATGACCAATATATTTTGTTTAATGTCTTTCGAATTTGAATAAAATATTATGTACACAAGCTCTTTCCGAACTCATTCAACAATCGTTTAGGTTTTTTTATCGGCGTTTCGAACATCTGACGCGAAATCTTGAGAAACCGGCGTTTTATATCTTAAATAATTAACGGTGATTAAAAATTAGCAAAATTAATGGATTTCAAAATTTCATTAAATCGGTTGTTCTTTATTTCAGATATACCAAACCACAAACGTTTGCGGATTGTATAGGAAACGAATTACCTTTAGGATGGGAAGAAGCTTTCGATGGCCATATTGGTCCCTATTATATAGATCATGTAAATCGTAAGTAAATTTATTATTTTTTAAACACATCCCTATCCCTAATACTTCAGGCAAAAATTCAAATAACAAGACACTTTAAACTCTTAGCTACTACTTTTAGCTAGGAGTGTTCTCGATGAAGAAGCAGAGGAATTTTGAGCTGATTTGTTTAATAAATGAAAATCTTTAACAAAGAAAAATAAATGTGAGAAGACTTACCATCAGCAATTTTTTTAGTTTTTTGAAATCTTAAACTGGCAGTTTACAACAATTCTCATACTTACTAGAAATGCTAGTTAATTTAATTCAGTGATGTGGTACAAATTCAATATTTTTGCAGAAGCAACACAATTAGAAGATCCAAGGCAAGAATGGAGGGCAATTCAGGAAGCCATGTTAAGAGATTACCTCATTACTGCTCAAGATGTTTTAGAAGTAAGTTTAATTTAATATTTTTAAAAATTGCATCCTTTTTTTATTTACTAAGAAATCGTGGTTAAATGGTAAATTAAGGCATTATCAACTCTTCTATATAAACAATATAATAATAAAAATTAAGACGAGTAGATAGGTCCTAAAAGTAACACCACATATGGCCCCCTTTATCTCCAATTTATATTCTTTTTAATAACTACATTTACGTTTATTTAAGTGATGTTTTGGTCATAATATATGGTAATTCAGATTCCTTTCATTTAAACTATTCTAAATATGAGTTAAATTAATTTCTAAATAAAAAAAAACTTCATTAATAAATTTTTATGGCAGAATTAATGGCCACCAAAAATAGATTTTTATTAAAACATGAATATTCTAAAAAGTTTTAACACCCACTTCCTTTTTAATTTCAACTTAGGAAGCCTAAAAATCTTAGTACAGTTAGTTCTATTCGATTTTTTTCGCAAAAAATCGGATTGTAATTAGTAATTTGCATAGATATATGTGGGCTTTATTTATAAATTATGTAAACTGTTAAGCACTTTTATTGAAAATAAAATTTAAAATGTATTTCTATTAATAAATTAAATGTAATACAAACATATTACAAAACTAAAATCTAACGATAATCGATATACGAGCGGTTAAATTTAAATTTTACTAAATTCATTGTGTGGAATTAATTACTAATAAAATTAATTGACTATAAAGTAGAAATTAGACTTGGAATGAAACTTCTATTTAAAGGAATGCAATCAACAATTTTTTTTTCTATTACTATGACTAATGCATTACTAGATCAATCAGTAATTCATTGTAACAATTTTTTTAACTTGTGGTCGAGCTGAATTGCATTCTGCGTAGTTTAATTAAATCATCATCAATGGAACAAAAACAGTAATATTTCACATCGCATATTACACACTTTTCGAATACTCATTAATATTGTCGTGATTAAAGTTATTTCTGTGATTGACTCAATCGAAATGTGTGTATTTTTATCAATCATATCCTCAATAATCTGAATGATCAGTAGATTACTAATAATTTATTGAAGTGGATATATTCCTATAATAAATAGTATTCCTAAAAATGAACTTTATCTTTTCGATTATATCGTAAACGAAAATTACACACGTTTTTAATAATAAAAGAGATATTAGTTAACAAATATTGATACCTCGTTAAATTCTGGTATGTGTTAATTGAAATATGTAATAAATTAAGCAATAACATACTAAAAGACAGAAATATTTTGATAGTACATTATGACCTCGTGAACCCGGTTCATAATTTAACCATTAATTGCTTTCACTTTTTCGTAATCGCACTGTGTCATCAAATTAATACCATTAGTCCGTGTGTCTTTGAATGGGTGGTTTCTATTATGCAGTACACAATATCCCCTTTCAATAAATTACTAACGCATATCGTATAAAAGCCTTTACAAAAATTATCTATACCTACAGAACATTTTGAAATGCAAATCTGCCATTAAAAATTATTGTACTACATATGAATTAATTTGTATTGCGCAAAAGGAAGTCATGCTAATCTCTTCGCTAATATATAAATAGATAGTATTTCAATTGTAAATGTTCGTAACCACTGGTATTACAAAAATGTTAATAAGACGAAAATTGCGCGAGCTTTTCATTGCTAAAATAAAAAGAGACCTATAAGTTCATATACCATGTGTGTACGTTAATATAAAGGGAAAATAAAGAACGATGCGATTGTTTATCCAGCTGCGAGTGCCTTTTTTGGGGGAATTATTTATTATACGCACATCTGCTACCAGTTAATGTTTTATCATATATTTCAGACAGTGCAGTGTGCAGTGGAAATTTAATTTAATGCACTGTAAAGTATTTAAATTAAAAATGAATATGTTTATGTAAAAAAAATTAGCTAATAAAATAGAAAGTAGTAGGTTTTCCTTGTTGGATTCCTGGGTTCAATGCTTATTGAAATTTCAAGCTTTCCCTCGGTATCATTACTGAAAACGAGGAATCTGTGGTATGCAGTGTTATCGAAATATTAGTTATATGGATGGTATGCGGGCGAATTCTTTGGAGTCTTTGGGAATGTTATTTAGGATATTTGAAGGTACATATCTAGGGCAATTTGAAATATGTAGGTCTATTCGAGTAGGTACTTAGTTATAGCAAGATTAATAGATTTAGTTTGGTACTTAGTGTCTTGTAGTAGCCGCAATGAGATGTTTGTAGGAAGAAGGTGTGAGGATTTCGCGCAATTTCATACCTTATCAAAACGTGTAACAAACTATAGCGGCGTAAAATACAAGGCAATTTGGCAACAAAGCACTAAAAGGCATGTGAGGTCAGTGCTGAGACCGTCCATGCGGGCACGAGCCACCGCTTAGGAATGTCGAGGTTGTGATGTGAAATAAAAACGGCTTTTTTTCTTCTACATATTTTTTTTTCTTTTTCGCCCACTGCATGACAAGTATCTGCTTGGCCTTTACATAATTTGTTGACCATTTTTAGTGAGCCCATTCACGGTGTATGGCATTGAATGGATAGCCATTACTTATCGCTAACGAACACCTCAATCAAAATAGATCTCTAATTGGAAATGATTTCCGAATGACTAATGCTAATTTCGGAAGAAATTTTGCATCGAAAATTCAGGTTGTTTTTAAGCGAAAAACTAATTAATTATGTAAGGAATTATGTAAACCGTTCAATCGTAAACCAGCCAGATAGGTACGTTAGGTATAAATGTTTGCAAGTTCGCAAAATTATTGCTTGTGTATCGTGGAAATATTAAAATTTAATTATACCTGCACCATAAAAAATATTCAAATTTAATAGGATTCTAAATTTATTGATCTCGTTAAAACTCGACTATCGAATTTCCTATAGGCGTTTTTTCCGTATTAGAATCATTATAAGGAGGTAAAATTGTGATACCTTTATCGTAAATAAATCGCATTCCTTAAATATTTCTCTGATGGGTGATCGGCCTAGACACTTATATCATCTATAAACCTCGGATTAAATTTCATAGCTCACATAATACAACGTCCAGTGTGTAAAATATAAAAGTCGGGAGATCCAGCATCGATATCATCGAAATTCCATCCGCTATGGAATGTTAAAATTCATAAAAGATAATCTTCCTACCGTACGCTCCGATCATTGAAACTTTTTAGATAAATTGATGAAACGTTTTACATTTTTGACTCAATCGCCATTGTAACGGGTTAACCGGAGGTTAAACTTACGAACGTAAACCAGAGCTTGAAACTTTAGCATCAACGAATCGGAAAACGGCCAGTAACTCTGCAAATGTGAACCATTTCTGAAATACCTATTGTTCTTCAACTATTTGGAATAGCATTAAGATAATAATTTTGCATAAACATGTATAATTATCTACCATAATTAAGAGTCTTTAACAGTAAAGAAAAAATGGAGAAGATAAGAAGGTCATGAAGGGCTTGATAATTATTGGAATTAATTGTAGGTATTCTAAGATGTGGCTTATTTTTGAGTAGTCTAATATATTGCTTCAATAACCCCTTAGAATAGGGCTACTTACTAGTAATAGTATTTTCTTATTTTTTTGCAAATATGACATTAGAAATCATTTTGAAGTTCTTTTTCCAACAAGATTTTAGCTACCTATCTATGTTAAAATTAGATCGGTAGGACATTGGACTCTTCCCTTTGAAGTTTTCGATCATTTTAAAATAAAACGTACGTGCCGCAATAGAATTTTACGATTAATAAACGTTATTAATAACAATTATTCGTAGTTGTCGATGCCAGAAATAGAATTCGAACGGGAATCGCTCTTCGGGGGCTCTCGACCGTCGCAATAAAAATTCTTACTGGACGATTCGGTCGCGTTCAATTTCGTCGCCGTAACCTTGTTTAAGGACATTTTAGCGGGCACTGTATAAAAACGGCTATCTACGGCGTATAACATACCAAAATGAATTGAATGAATAGTGAAAGGCATGCGAGGAATGCGCCTTCGTACGAGATCGTGCGAGATCGGCGGTATGCGGAGCCCCGCTGAGATCGTGCGGCGTAACACAGGTAGCTGTTGCAACGCACGCTACTCGGCGCGTATCGATTCCACCGGCGAGATCGCGCTTCGAGTTAATCCTTCCTTTCGGATGAAGCTATATCGGGCCGGTGCTCCGGCCGAGGAGTAGGTAGTTTCAGCAATTTCTTGAGTCATTGTTCCGTTCCCCTGTATCAGTTTACTTATCAGATCTCTCTCTGGGTAAGCTCGAGAATGCCTCGCATATTCTCTCTTGCTCTGGACTCGAAAGAGATAAGTATTCTGCTTTTTTCCCCCCCGACTAAGTTTTATCCTCGGGGGGAATTTACTTCTTTACTTGGTTACCTACGCAGTCTGCTATTGTTCATGTGAATAGGCCAGCTGTAGGTTTTGTTTTTCTAGACGGTTTTTTTGAATTAATTCTATGGTCTTTGATTTTACCATCCCTTAGATAGTTTCTTATAGAAGTTATGAAAGCCATTAAAATGGTGAAGCAGTCTTATTTTTATGCTTTAAGTTCCACCTTTTCATTGATATTATAATAGATACTTCATTTTTATTTGAGTATCTACCGTTCACTAGAATCCATCAATCAATCAATTTTTATATTGATAACCTGAAACAATCGATATACTAGGATTAAAATATCCTCACTTAGTAAATTAGATTAACATATTTTGTGCAATTATCCATCACCCAAATTCATATCCTCTATCTTTTATACAACTCCACATCCAACTCCTCTGTTCGTTCCTCTTTATACGAGTACCTACCTTTAACTAATGCTTCGGTATACCTATAAAGTTTTTTAGGCAGACGACGATAGTATGTCTCGCGTGAATGTTCTTTGATGTTTACCTACTCAGTTGCTAGAAAACAAATCGTTTTTATTATCGTAAAAAGTTTTATGGGCCGAATGTTTATTCGTAATTGGTGGAATGCGTCTGGTAAATTATACG